AATATTGTTACTGGGTGAAAATTATCCTGGATTTCCTTATAGGAGAAGAGGTATCACAGATGGGAGAAGGGTCAGGCACAGGGAAGGCGTGGGGAAGACGTAGAAGAGGGAACAGACAGTCCTGTCACTTTGACAGGTGATTACTGATTTTAAGGCAGTGTTCCCAGCAGTATGTTCTCTTCCAGAGAGCATGGGATTTGGATTTGGATAGACCTGAGATAAATCCTTTACAGTGACTCACAAGCTGTGTGTTTTGGGGCAATTTATTTAGCTTGTCTGAGTCTTATAAATTTGCTCATTTATAAAATGGAGGATAATGACACTTTTTAGGTTTGTCCTTTGAATTAAATGAGTAACATTTACGCATCACTCAGTGAGCACAGTGCGTGGCACATTAGTGATCACTAAACAGTTATCCGCTGCTGGAGTTTCTCTCCACCAGGGCACCTGCCTCACCTAAGCACCTCCCTCTCAGTGGATTAAGTGAGTCTCTTTAAGGTCAATGTTGAGTCTTAAATGGGCATTACAGTTTTTTGTCCCTAGGTAGTGAAAACAAAAGAAAGAAATGCTTTCTTCTTCTAAAGAATATCCACAGTGGTATTATATTTAGAAGCTTAAAAATGAATTTGATTTATGGTCATCATCAAATAGCCAGCATCATTTCATTATGTGATTTAATTATAATCTATTGTTATGCCTTTGTTTTTCTTTTCTTTTTTTTTTTTTTTGAGATAGTGTCTCGGTCTGTTGCCCTGGCTAGAGTGCCGTAGTGTCAGCCTAGCTCACAGCACTTCAAACTCCTGGGCTCAAGTGATCATCCTGCCTCAGCCTCCCAAGTAGCTGAGACTACAGGCATGCACACCACCATGCTCCACTAATTCTTTCTATTTTTATTAGAGATGGGGTCTCACTTTTGCTCATGCTGTTCTCGAATTCCTGACCTCAAGCAATCCTCCCCCTTCGGCCTCTCAGAGTGCTAAAATTTCAGGTGTGAGCCACCCCGCCCGGCCAGCATATATATATTTTGTGATGCGGCATGTTGCAGTCCGTCCCTCCAATTGGCTTTCAGGTTTTGTAAAGCAATTACAGCATCAACCTTTCTCATCAGTGGTTCAGAATGGTGTAAAGTAGGGAGAACATTTGAAATTCAGCTTGTAGTTTAAGTTGCTTGGGAGAGTTTAGTATAACTAACTAACATATGTACCAGTGTAACAAATAATTTAGTGAAGAATATCATGTTATAATAAAAGTTAGCTACCCAGCATTTTATATAAGAACATTTACTTTATTGAGGTATATTAAGTGATTCCAAATAATCATGTGGTGAATAGATTTTTATGGCATGGTAAATTTAAATTTCAACTGTTTTGAATTTGAAATTTAGATTACCATGCTACTAAAACAAGTGGTCGAGTACATACAAAAACTTTGGGCTCTTGTCTGTTAGGCATTATAAGGAATCATGAACACACCTTACAGCTTGCTATAAAATGAAGAAAAATATGCCATAAAAGTTCTGAGTTCTTTTAATGACACTCGTTTGTGTAGAGCAGCAAACCCTAAGACATTGTATTAATAGTAGAGTATTTTCTTCTCTTGGTACTGACTCAACTACCACTGGAGTATCTTGGTAGCCACTTCTCTTTTCTACACTCTCAATCTAGTGGGTATTATTTAGAAACTGGATTTGTTTGTAGAGTATTTCATACTGAGACCTGTAAAATACAGGTGTGTTTCTGTTATACTATTTGTAATTATAATACATGTAACATTTTGGTTGGGCTGTAGGGTTCACAAGGACCTAATTAAAACCTTTATAGCATTAGTGAAATATTACTTTATAATTACATCGCAGAATGATTAATAATAGAGTATGTTGTGTGGGGTGAGCTCAGAGTTTCTTACTCATTTTTGTGTGCCCAGAATCTTGCACAGTGCTCGGCTCGTAATTGACATTTTATATGTGTTGTTCGGTTTGTGAATATTTAGCAAATTTAGTCAAAACAGTCAAGTTGCAAGTAACTACTTAGGTCATTATGTTATTGATATTTATCCAAAACACCACATACATAAATACAAATAGTTTATTCTTTTCTAAACTGTTCCTTTTTAGTGGTCTGCTTGAGAATGGTAATTAAAGTAATATCTTTTATTATCATTTTTAGCAGACTTCTGAATTACAGCAATTGATAATAACTTGGAATCTGGTAATACAGTACCTTAAATGGCTTTTAAGATCCAAGTGTTGAGAAGTTCTTTAAATTATAGTATTTAAACTTCATTTAGATATGGTGTTGCAAATATGCTTTTTTAAAAGTTTTACTTTAATTCCTATTAATAACATTGCTTTTAAAGATGAGGAACCTGGGGGCTTAAGAGATGTAAAGGACTTTGACCAGGATCACAGAGCTGATAGCGTGTGATAGAGCCTGGATTAGAATCTGGTATTCTAATTTCAAAGTCTATTATCTTACTTACCTTGATATTGCCACAATGGGAACCTTAAGTAAAACTGAAATGGGTGAACCTTAGACTGGGTTTTCTTTCTTTCCTTCCCTGATCTTCTTATTTCTCTTGCTTCGTAGTTCATTCTTGAGTATTTGTCAGGCTGCCCTGTTTTCAGTGTCTGTCCTCCATTCTGTACAGTAAAATCCAGTCCATCAGTTACTCAAGCATCAAGTATTTAATGTGTATCCTCACGTGCTGTCGCCATCCTAGGTGTGGTAGGAAGAATTGTGCTCATAATTCCTAACTTTTAAGTAATTTATCTAGCTAAGAGATCAAATTAACATGTTAAACACGTATAGGACAGTGAAGTGAACTATTGGATAGAAATTTAATAGGAATTTTGAAAAGAAGGAAATGGGAAAAAACAGTGGGCTTCAAAGAGAATCAGACTGATGGGCAGAGTTAGTCATAGGAATTAGGTGGCTCTTTATTGTTATAAAGTCTTTGGTATTTTAAAACTTTCATATTTCAAGTAAACGGTATTTTTTCAGCCAGGTAGGAATATTCACTGTGTATTTAGACATGTGTGTCACAATAGAAATCCAAGTGGAAAGAAGTCTGGATTTTGAGATTGGTAAACCGAGAGATGATTGCTGAAAACATAAAAGCTTGTTAGGAAAGTGAAGAAAACTAAGCAGAGGCCCTTGAGTCTCTTTGGGTCTCTTTCAGTACAAAAAGTCAATAAAGAGTTATTCTAATGTGAGTAATGACTTGGACTTACAAAGACATAAAAATGGGGCTGGGTGTGGGTGGCTCATGCCTATAATCCTAGCACTCTGGGAGGCTGAGGTGGGAGGATCGTTTGAGCTCAGGAGTTCGAGACCAGCCTGAGCAAGAGCGAGAACCAGTCTCTACTAAAAATAGAAAGAAATTGGCTGGACAACTAAAAATATATAGAAAAAATTAGCCGGGCATGGTGGCACATGCCTGTAGTCCCAGCTACTCGGGAGGCTGAGGCAGGAGGATCGCTTGAGCCCAGGAGTTTGAGGTTGCTGTGAGCTAGGCTGACACCACGGCACTCTAGCCCGGGCAACAGAGAGAGACTTTGTCTCAAAAAAAAAAAAAAAAAATGCCAGTTGACAGTTGCTAATAATGGAGCTAGGACAAAACAGGTGAGCACTGAGAAAAGATTGTTGAAATTGTCAACTTGGGTAAATTAATTTTTTTCAGAAGAGCATTCAGTATTCAACCCTACCCTTCTCTCTCTTGTCGTCCAATACCACTTATTCTTTAAAGTCCAGCTCAGATGTATACCCAATAATAATAGCTGATGCTTACTGAAAGCTGTCTCACATTATGCTATTATATGAATTTGTTATTACTCCCACATCAATTCCGTGATGTAAATACTGTCATTGTTTCTTTCCCATTGAACTGCTGAAGATCAGAGAGATTAATAAACTTGTCCAACTTTGTATAGTTAATGGTAGAAAAAAATAATTGAATTTAGGGACACTGGTGTCAGAATTCATACTTTTAGGCACTACATTGTGCTCCTTTTCTTTGAAGTCTTCCTAGATATTCCCTTACAGAACTAATCACTTTTAGACTGACTGGCTCTAGGGGCTGTGAGTACTAAGAGTTAAAGAGTTATAGGCAGTTTATACTGACAAAAAGCTCATATTGTAGATAGGGATAAGGATACTTTCTTAAAGTGATAATACTGTAAGATAGTATATGCTAAGTGAAAAATAAGGGATACGGTAATAAGTTATGAGAACATAGAGGAGGAGATGGTCAGTCTAGGACCAGGTATTTTATACACACACACACACACACACACACACACACACAGTTTTGAAACAGAGTCTTGCTCTGTCACCCCAGCTAGAGTGCAGTGGCGTCAGCCTAGCTCACAGCAATCTCAAACTCCTGGGCTCAAGTGATCCTCCTGCTTCAGCCTCCCAAGTAGCTGGGACTACAGGCTCATGCCACCATGCCTGGCTAATTTTTCTATGTTTTGTAGAGATGGGTTCTCACTCTTGCTTAGGCTGATCACGAACTCCTGAGCTCAAGCAATCCTCCCACCTCAGCCTCCTAAAGTACTAGGATTACAGGTGTGAGCCACAATGCCCGGCCCAGATATTATATTAATAAAAGCCTCTGTGGAAGGAATAAGATTTGATCTGGACCTTCAAGGGCCAGTGTTATTTTGACTATTGGTGATGCATATGGATAGGGGTAAAATAAATGGCAGACATTACAGATAGCAAGAATAGCTGGAGGAAAGGTATAAATACAGGAAAGAACAAGATGTGTTTTGGGGAAAATTAAGTAGTCTAGTTTAGCTGGTTGACGAGACGTGGCCAGAAAGGATGAAGGATTGGAAAGAAGTTTAAGGTCAGGTTGTGAATGACCTTGAGTGGAGATCTGTAGAAAGCTGTGAGGTTATGGTGGGTTTTGTTTAGAATAAAACTCTATAGTTTTCTGCTATTTACTTCTTGGTTTAAATAATATGTATATTTAAAAGAGACATGTTGTTTTATTTCTAGAATGCCAGTTAATGAAAACAGAACGACCAAAGCCAAACACATTTATAATCAGATGTCTGCAGTGGACCACTGTTATAGAGAGAACATTTCATGTAGATACTCCAGAGGAAAGGTAAGAAATTTATTTAAAAAGCAGCAATCAATCTAAAGATTGATTCTGATTGTATCATTTGTAAATAGATAAAGATATATTTATAAAATGCTATAGTCTCTTAAGTGTTCTGTTTCTGGTATAATACGTGAATAATGGGAGCCTGCAAAATAATGAATCAGAACCTCTAGGCATGCTACAAAATACACTTCTTCAGAGAAAACAGAACATTTAAAGGTTAAAATATAAATTTAACAAGATATTTTTATAACCGAACTGCCTTATTTTTCAAATTGTAGAATAGATTGTATTCATATTTGAAATTCCAAGGCTAGTGATAGCAAGAAGTTTCAAGTAGTGTGCCATTATAGATTAATTGCAGATGGCTGCCTGGAATATTATATTGATGAGGATTCTGAGATTGGGTCTAAGCTCAAGGGATGGTGGTAGTGACTGTTGTCATTGCCAAAGAGGGTAGTGGGAACACCTTAGTAACCAGCTCACCAACTTCGTCAGAGCCGCAGTTACATCTCCTGATCTGTCAGTTTTTGCAGCCACCCCCATGCCTCCCAATTCTATCTTAATACTCTTTTATCTGATATCTCTAATACTGATTTAGGTCCAGTGACCATAATCCCAAAATCATTTTCCTGCACATATGTTGTCATATTTGATCCTAATCAGCAACTTTGTGAAGTTAAATGTTATTAGCCTTATTTTTCAAGTGACTAAATTAACTTTTAACAGGCTTATCTAATATTTTATTAAAAACAAAATGGTAAAGTATTATCTTAATAATACTTTTCAACCGAGTGTGGTGGTGTGTGCTTCTAGTCCCAGCTACTTGAGAGGCTGAGGCAAGAGAATCACTTGAGCACAGGTGTTCAAGATCAGCCTGGGTGATACAGTGAGACCCTGACCAAAAAAAAAAAAAGTCTTTTATCAATAGAGTAAATGGTAATGTGTGATTACTTCAGGCAACATAGAAAAGAAAGAAAAATATAAAGAATTAGAAATTACTCCTAATTCTATAACCAGATTTAAACACTGATAATATATTCTTTTATATACTTCTAGTCTTACTCTGTACAGGTATATGTAGGTATTTAGTATTCAGACAATTTTGTGTGTCCTTCCCCACATTCCTACTCTGCCTACCCACCCACTCCTGCCTCCTCTGGGCCTTTTCTCCCTGAGAACTTATACTGAATTCTCAGTTTGTTTGTACCTGCACTCATCACCATGGATAGGCTGATTCCTATGTATCTTTCAGATCTGAGCTTGAAATGTCACTTTTCCTGCAAAACCTTCTCTTATTCTTATAGACTAGATGGTTCCCCTGCTGTATACTTATATCTCTTTGTGTTTTTTATATCAAGTGTATCATGATTGTAATCCTGTGTGCCTTTCGCATTGGACTATTAAGATGCTTGACAGCAAGTATCATGTCTTCCTCTCTCATTTAAATCTTTAGCACATAGTCCAGGGTCCAACGCAGTATTTGTTGACTGGCTGAATGAATGGAACTTTTCCCACGTCAGTATATATCCTTTGAAAATATTATTCTTAGTGGATTTATAACATCTCTTTGAAGCATGATTCATTTTGCCATTTGTGAAGCCAGATCTTAAGGCTCTTAAATCCTTTGCTGTCCCTGCAGTGGTGTCACACTACTCTACTGAACAGTTTTCATTTGCATTTATGACTATAAGAAAAAACAATTTTAGTAATAATGAAAAACAATATACTTATTGAAATGTGCTTTTCTATATTCAACTAGAATCTGGTGTTTGGAGATTTTATATGACTTTAATGTCATCGAAGAATTAGAGAGGCTTAGTAAGAGTTAGGAAAACTTTTTATTTTTATACTCTGCCCCTAGTTTAAGATCCTTATCTGTCGTAAACTGCATATATATCTCTAATATATCTTATATTTATTTCAGTGCATGATATAAGGTTGGGCTCTTTTTTTTTTTTTTTTCCCAAAATGACAATCCTATTGTCTCAGCTTCATTTATTAGATAATTCATTCCTTTCTCACTGATCGTGAATACAACATATACATACATACTTGGGCTTTTAGATTTTCATTTTGGTTTTTTCCCCTTGATCTTTGTGTATTCTGGCACTAATACCACATGGCTGTAATTAGACATACTTCATGAAACTTTTAACTTCTAATGTAGCAATATTTCCCTTATTAATAAAAAATTTCTTAGATATTTCAGTGCATTCTTTTTTAAATAAATTATAGTAGAAAAACACGTAACATGAAGTCTATCCTCCTAAATATTTAAGTATATAATACAGTTTTGTTAACTATATGCACATTGTTCTACGGCGTATCTCTAGAACTTTTTCATCTTGCATGACTGAAACTCTGATCTCATTGAACAGCAACTCTCCGTTTCCTCCTCCCGCAGCTACGGGCAACCACCATTCTACTTTCTGCTTCTATGAGTTCATCTACTTTAGATACCTCATATAAGTGGAATCATGCAATATTTATCCTGTTACTGGCTTATTTTGGTTAGCATAATGTCCTCAAAGTTAATCCATGTTGTGGTACATGACAGGACTTTTTTTCTTTTTTCGGGTTGAAGAATATTCCATTGTGTGTATTATATATGCCACTTTTTTTTTCCCCCCTGAGACAGTGTCTCTCTCTGTCTCCCTGGATAGAGTGCGGTGGCGTCATTGTAGCTCACAGCAACCTCAAATTCCTGGGCTCAAGTGATCCTCCTGCCTCAGTCTTCTGAATAGCTGGGACTATAGGCATGTGCTGCCACGCCTGGCCCCACGTTTTTGTTTTTTCCCCCAAAATTGATCTATAGATTTAATGCAATTCCAATTAAGATTCTAACAGACTTTATTTTAAGAACTAGACAGGCTGATTTTAAAATCTATGTAGGAAAAAAATGATCCTTGATCTGATAGCACAAATGTCAGAAAATAAAAGCTTGATACAGGTGATCCTGGGACTTATTCTTTAAACTACAAGCTGAGGCTATCTTTTTTTTTTTTTAAAGAAATTTTCCATGATATGGGAACAATGAAAAATTTTGGCTTTGAAAATCCTTTCTTGGAAATTCTGTTGGATCACATAAAATAATGTCAATAATGGACTTACAGTGGCTAAACAAAACATTTTTAAAAACTGCAGCAAACCTTTGAGGGTTAATTTACTTAATAGGTAGGATGTGTAGAGACAAAATTTAACGGTTTGCTTAAATGATTTTAAATGGAGTTTTCAATAATTTTTCCTTCGGTTTTTTTTCTTTAACATACCTCGAAATAAATGCTATTTAAAGGTCTACAATGAAATGATTTTAGGATTATTTTTACCTTGAGATGATGGTGGAAGAGTGTGTGTCTGTTGTTTTGCCCCGGAATAGACTGTATTCATGTTGATTTCATGTTTTGTAAAAGGAAAATATTTGAATCATTTACAATCTTCTATTAATGGGAGATTTTACTCACTTTTACAGGGAAGAATGGACAGAAGCTATCCAGGCTGTAGCAGACAGACTGCAGAGACAAGAAGAAGAGAGAATGAATTGTAGTCCAACTTCACAAATCGACAATATAGGGGAGGAAGAGATGGATGCTTCTACAACCCATCATAAAAGAAAGGTAGGAATAATAACTTATTCTCCTACTCAGCACAACATTTATTTGTCTGGGAGAAATTTACTGAAAACCGCCATTTAGAGAAAGGTATCAGCCAATTTTCCTATGATATGTAAATATACTGGTGGGTTTTACCCATGTCAATCTGAAATACCTGCTGTGGTTTAAAACCAAATAAATAGCTGAAGGTCACTTCATTTCAGTGGTTCAGCACTTTACCACCAAACGCTGATAGGGCTCACGAGGGAGTCGTGACTGGCGTGCCCTCATACTGCTTTATAATTGGAATTTTTCCCTTATTGTTTTTAATACCATTTTAGAAATTTGGAAATAAAATGTTTTCCCCAGTGAGTTGGTTGGTCTCCATTTGGCGTTCCTTGTTCTCCAGAAAGCAGAAGCAGAAATGGCTCTGGTGCGCTTCCTGGTTGGTGCTGTCAGCCTCACTACAGTCAGTGGGAAAGTGAATAATCCTGGAAATAATGGCTTTTATTTTAATGGCTGCTCCTGAGCCAATGAAGGAAACAGACTTTTCCTTCCTCAGTGCTCCAGAATAATAAGTACCAATTTATATTTTTGTGGGAATTATACATTATGTTTTTCACTGCTATAGAAAATTGAAAAGCAACTTCTTTATATAAAAAGTGATATTTTAAGAGGAATCTAAAGATAGAGGTGTTGAAACATACCGTTTATCATTTTAGAATATATTTGGTATAATAGGTTGTAAATTAACCTTCAGGTAGGAAAACACAACTTTTCAAGGTGTTATCTGTGAAATTTGGTATGAGCACATCATTAAGAACTCTTTGGAGTTAGGCTTCCTGGGTTGAAATCCTCCCTTTCGCACATGTTGAACATGTGAACTTGGTAAAGTTATACAGTCACAACTTACATCCTTTCCTTAAGTTTCTGTTCTAATAATATTCTGTGCTTGATTTGTGCCAATGCCTGAAACTCCTTTCTGTCTTCACTGTAGACTTATTCTCTATTTGTGGGTTGAACTGAATCCCTCTTTTCTTTTAGGACAGTTTAACCTGCCTTGTTCCTTAGTCATTGCAAAAAGAGAAACAGTGTAACTTTACCCACTCACTCAGAGATAAGAAAGCTCCTTTTGCATGTGTGTAAATTACTTCATTTAAAATGAAATCAAGAAGAGCAGTGTAAATCAGATATGGTTAAGACATTGAACCCCAAATAAATTCAGAATGCTTCTATCGGTTTTTCATTTTGGACACTTAGTTTCAGTAAAGAATTCTAAGAATCTACTTCAGAATGATCTTTATGTTTAATTATCTTTATGTGGACAAAGTAGAATATTAGCTAGCATTAACAGCTAGTATTTATTGAGCATTTATGTAAGAACTTTATGCATATTCCCTCATTTTTGAACCTCACAACTATTAGAGGTAAGGACCACTATTATCCCCCTTTTTGTAGATATGGGGACTAAAGGATGGGAGGATTAAGAAATTTTCCCAATTACACACATGGTGGGAGCCAGGACTTAAACTCAGGCAGTAGGGCTCCAAAATCCTCACTTTTTAGCACTGTTTTATAATATTAAAATTCTACTTATTTTTCCAAGAGTGCTTTATTATACAATGAAATTAATATCCAAGCATTGTGTCAGTACAACAGTTTGCCATAATGTTCTGAGAAACAGAGTATAATCATAAGGGACAATATCTGCTTAATTTTGTTTCTGATATAACTTGGTTATGAGTATAACAATTGTAGAGATTATAGAGGCTCAAGATACATGAACTAAGGAAAAGAAATAAGTTGTATATTTAAGTTGTACAGTATACAATTAAAAGAAGATCTTATTATGTTTGAGGTTCTAGTATCTTTTTTGAAATAATTTAAAATAGTTTTAAGTTGTTGCAGAAATTAATGCAGAAAACAAACATTTGTACCACTACTTAGTCCACAATGGTCCTAATGACTTAGTTGAAAGTGGTAAAATATTACCATTACTTGTGTAAGATAAATGACTCTAGAATTGTATCCTTTATGTATATCACTTATGAAAAGAATTGCAGAAGCTTGAAATATTTTTAATTTAAGACTGTAAACACATATATTCTGAAGTAAGAACATCCTTCTCATAGTTTACAGAATGCATCTTCTTCTTTCTTCACTTTTTGCAAAATGGGCAATAGGGTTAAGAGAATAGCTACTGACTGTGGTAGCTAAAGTTAGAGTGGTCTTACCTGCTATCTCTTGCATGGAGCAGATAAGTGGTTATCTCCCTTGGTAGAGCAATGCCATAGTATCTGCTCTGCCAGTTAAAAACTCTGTTGGAGAAGGAAGAATATTGGGTGGTGGAGGAAGAGACAAGGGCCTCACAACCAGATTTAAGTGCTGTTCTATGTTTGAATTAAAAGATAGTGTTTCAAAGGAACTTGATTAGAGGACTCAGAAGTGCCTAATCTTGGTCTGCCAAGCTGCTATTCTCATATACCCTCCCAGGTATGTCAAGCGGCACAGCATAAAAGGATAAAAAGCCAAATGAGAATCAAAGTTCTACTTAATTTTTAACTGACTAGAACAGGCCTCTCTGGGAGCAGCTGGTTATAATCTCATGATTTAGGTTTAAATAAGCGATGCTTCCTATTTCCCATTAAATGTGACTCAATTTTTAGGATTTTATCACCTAATGCCATGCTACAGTAACTCAGTGCAATGGCTAGTATGCAGAGAAAAAGAGAAGGAAAAAGAAGAGATAGTTGGACCCACTGAAATCATGTGATCTCACATTGCTTGGATCTGCCCATTCAAGAGGGAGGAGTGGTATAGTCAGTGTTGGAGAAGTTGGCTAGGCAGGTTAGCTCCTCTTCCTGTAAGAAAGAGCACCAGAGGAAGTAGGCAGAGGGGTAAACTTCACGAGAGCTCGTCTGTCTTTTTTACTTACTTGGTTTTACTGTACTTTGTAAATGTATTTGGAATTTATCTTTTTGACCAAATATGCTAATACTTCTGTGTTCTTCTCTGAGAAGTTCCTTATATTCCTCATTGATTATATATTCATTTTTAATCTAATTTGTGGGCTAGACAATGTCTTTCTCTTATATGCTCATGTGTGTTATGTATGCACGTGTGTCTCTTAACCTAAAACAGCCATATTAACATGGAAAGGAAAGAGTATAACTATGTAAAATATTTCCCTAATAAATTCTTAGGATTGGGTTTTGGAGGATTAATTTTTCTGGAGAGTATTCATGTTCTCATTTTTTATTAAAGACTTATTGTATCGTTTCCCATCATCCAAAAGAAGAAAACATTTTGTAATAGCTTACATTTCATTTGTAAAGACTAGATAATTACTGTGTAAACCACTCTGAACGGGAGTATTTGGTGTCAAAGATACCCTTTTAGTTTTCTGAAATTTTGTCAAAATAGATATGAAATCTCTTTCTGATTTTATCACATTGAATCCTTCTTAACTAATATTAATTTCCATGCAGATTCCTTTTTTTTTTAAGGTTGACAGTCAAACTGACAGAAGCTGTGAAATTCACAGTTAAGGCTGTCATACTTTTTTATTTAATTTAATTTTATTTTTTGACATTCAAAACCACACATATATAATGCATTTACGTATAGGTAGACCACATAATATATATTTCTTACATAAATTAAGCAACAGCATGTTTCCAAAACTCCCTTCAAAAGTAAGGCAACAACATACTGGGGGTTGTTAGTCCTTTGTCCTGCTGAATTTCTCCTTGACTTTGAGAAGCAACATACTTTTTTTTTTTTTTTTTTT